CCTCAGTTTTAATGTGAGAAAATTGACACCCAGAGAAATCAAGTGATTTTTCCAAGATCACACACATGTAATAAACATCAAAGGCAGATTTGAAACCCAGGTCCTCTGACTGTAAGTGTTGTTCAGTTGTTTCAGTGGTGTCCGACTCTTAGTGACCCCATTTGGTTTCTGTGGTAAAGATACTGGAGTGGTTTGCCATTTCCTTCTCCAGTTCATTTTATAGATGAGGAAACTGAGGCAACCAGGGTTAAGTGATTTGCTCAGGGTCACACAACCACATAGCTAGTAAGTGTCTGAGGCTAGATTGGAACTCCAGGCCTGACACTCTATCCACTGTACCACCTGGCTTCTATAGAGCCAATGCTATTTCTGTTGGACCACAGTCCCTCTCCTCTTCAAAAGCCTACCTTTTCTCTACATGCCAGACCTAGGCAGGTATGCTTATCCTCTTCATGAACTCATAGCACTTATTCTCTGCAGTAGCCTTCATTTGCCATTTACTCTGTATAATGCCCAGTATGGCATTTGCTTTTTCCACCTGCCTTATGTTCCCTACTAGATTGTAAATTCCCTGAGAGCAGTATCTTATATCTAGAAGTAGCACTCTATAGTGGAAAGAGAACTGGACTTGTCATCCATCAGCAGAGATCTGAGTTCATATCCCACCACTAACAATGACTAGCTATTACCATGGGCAAATTATTTCACCTTACATACAGCAGCCACTCAAAAAAAGGTTTGTTAATGATGATCAAAATGATAAGGAATATAATGCAGTATTATTGTCCATTAAAGATGGTACTTAATTCAATAACAACAAAAGTACTAAAGTAGTGGTTGGCACTAAATAAATATTTGTAGAATGAATGATGGCAATTCATATTTATATAGCATTATAGAATTTACCAAGCCCTCTCTTTGTAACAATCCTATGTGAAAGGAAGTACAAATATTAGTTAAATCCAAAAAAAGTGTCTTCAATTCAATTCAATAAATATTTATTAAGTACCTACTATGTGCCAGACACTGTGCTAAACTCTGGATCTATGACATCATCTGAGTTGGATGCTTCCTCCAACAATGTAACATTAAATAGATCAGCTAGCTGGATGGATGGATGGATAGATAGAAAGATAGATGGATGGATGGATGGAAGAATGAATAAGTAACATTCAAATAGCACGTTAAGGTTTGCAACGCACTTTATCTGACAGGTAAAGATCATTATCATCCCCATTTTTGCAGATGAAGAAATTGAAGGAGAGAGGTGTTAAATTAATCTTTGGTATTTTGTTCACTGATTTATTTAGAACTATAAGATGTTAGAACCCAAAAGGACTTTAGGCATTATTTAGTTCAATCCTCTCCTTTTACAGACGAGGACACTGAAGTTAGGGATATAGAGTGATTTGATCAAGGTCACACAGCTGTGTTAAATCTGGTCTCTTGACTGCCCAGTCTTTCACATTAGAACATAACTGCTGCTGTCTTCAGAATGACTTCCCTGATCGATAATCATCAGGGAATGAGCCATTCTTGAAAGTGGAATGTTCTGGATAGCTAGGAGTTTAACCACACTTTAAACAACCAGATTATTTAGTTTGACCATTTTAGAGGGCAGTCTTCTCTTCTCTACCGTTTTAAAAACAGGATACTGAATTATTTTTTTCAATGACTAGGAGACACTATTGTTATCATCACTTATTTTACCGTACTGCCCTCAAGATTTATTGAAGCAAATAGAGTTGTTGGCTCCAATACTAAATGACTCCAGACTAGGTGTGGGGAACCTGTGGCCTTGAGGCTACAGGTCCTTGGGTGGGGTCTCTTGACTGAGTCCAAATTTTACAGAACAAATCCTTTTCTTTAAGGGGATTTGTTCTAAGAAGTTTGGATTCAGTCAAAGGGCCGCACTTGAGGACCTAGAAGGCCACGTGTGGCCTCGAGGCCGCAGGTTCCCCACCCCTCCTCCAGGCTATTCTTTTTGAGTTCTTGTTTTCTTTTTATGATTTGTTTCCTCCCTAATTGTCATGCCACCAACTGTCATTTATCTCTGTTAATAGTATGGCTACCTTCATCAACACTCCCTTTCTCTTTTTCTAATTTGCTGATCAGCAAGGAAGGTTGGAAAGTTTGAAAACCAGCTAACCAAACTCATCAGCATTGTACATAAAACAAGGGTCTATAGGCTCTGAGTAAAGACCTGTAGTCTCTACAGAAGTCAAGAATATGAGCTTTAGTGAATGGACTTTCTGATATACATTTGTGGTGGTCCTGCTTTCTAATTCAGATTTTTGAGGATTTTGTAACTTCCATCTCAACAATAAATGATTTCCACAGAGAAGAATGTTCAACTAGTAGGCAAAATATGGCATTCTTATTTATCACACAAATACTTTTAATTTTGTTAGATTATAGCCTATAACAGGGCTCAAGCAGATTTATCACAACTGTATATTATGTAGTGCATTTGTCTGATGCAGTGCCTTGGATTTAAAAAAAAAATTATTCATTCATGTACTTGCAAGTCTACAGATGTATTCATTTTCCAAGGGGCTCCAAGTCCTTTGTTCAAAGTAGTATGGTTTTAATATAAATAAATGTATGAATTGTACTTAATGCATCTTCATTTTTCCCTTTAATTATCTAAAGGATTTCCTGGCATTTACCAAGTCAGAGTTGAGCCAACAGAATGATGTTTTATCTGCATTCATGCTGCACTGTTAAAGGCCCACACATCCTGAAGAAATGTTTGAAAGCTTTTTAGGGAAAAAATTAAAACTGTGTGACCACAATATATGCTCACTCAAAAGGAAAGCTGGAGCTAGAGTTAATGCAGAAAGAATTGTAAATGCCTGCAAACATGTTTCCTTTTTAAAATCTCACATTTAATTATAAGCAAGACATGAAATCAGTGCCCAAGGCCTGATATGTGTATTATGTGACATGGATATTATCACTAGTGTTAAAAGATTTTTAAAAATGCAAAGTTATATTTAATTATGCTTACAACTCATCTAGAGCAAAAAGCTCTATATCCAATTTCACCAAGGCAATTTTTAGATGCTTTTTTGCCCAAGTTTTTTTTTTTTAATGAACTTTGCTCAAAAAAAAAAATGGTCCCAGGGTACATCTCCAGTTTTAATGCCCCAAGCTCTAACAATAATGCAGTGGATTCAGAGTCAGCTTTTTAAACAAGTGTTGGTGCAGGCTAAGAAGGCCAGCAAACAATCTACCAATCCTAAAGAGTTTAGAGACTTTACATAAGTATTTCAACTTTCCTGAAAATAAAGAAATGTGTAGCCTAATTTAAAAAAATAATCCAGCTTAGTTTACACTGCTAAACTAGGGGGAAAAAAAGAAAGAAAAGAAAAAAGAAAATTGATCTCAGGTGATTGATTGAAGAGGCGACAGATAGGTGGGTGTAAAATGGCTTCCCAAAATAAGTAGATAAAAGGTCAGTAAACAATACCCAGATAGTTTCCCTTTAAGTATTTCTTAAAACCTATGAGAAAGCACAAATTAAAAAAACATATTTAGGAGATTGTTATAAGAATCCTCAAGAATTCCGACACCAGAAAGGAACCTACAAATCAGTGACTCGGAAGATTAGAAGACAGGAATCTGGCAATGAGGGGAGGCAATGCCAAATTCGCCAGCCTGAAGCACGAAATATTCCTGCAATAAGTCTTGCTACCTCAGTGAGCTCTCTACATGCCTCTATAACATAAAACCCTTATGATTTTGTGAAAAAGAAAAAAAAATTCTCCACAACAAAGTGAATAGTATTTGGGGAACTCAATGCATTTTCATAGGAAAATGGGGGGCTCTTTCACCAGTTCTAGTGATACAAAGCTCCTAAGCACCATTCTTGGAGTTGTCTCAGAAATGTCTGGCTTTTCCCCCTCTCTAGTTGTAATGATCTTGCAACAGAAACTGAATGTTCAAAAGCAGGATGCGGGTAGTCCAGGAGGAAGGTTGGATTCCCAGCAGACCAAGGGCTCCAATCGCCTCATAGGAGGGGATTTCCCGGGAATGAATGACTTAGGGAGAGGGAAAAAGATGATCCTGCCACAGGTTAGCGCAGCCAGAGAGAATTATTGACTCTTAGGGAGAATTAGGTTTCTAATAATAACACCATTTAGGAGGGTTATCTCCAGAAACACCCAGTCCACTGGATAGACCCGGCTCGAGCTGCTGAAATCCACAGCCACTGACGTATTAGCACGGAAGAAAAAAGAGAGAAAAAAATAATAATAAAAAGCCAAGCCATTGGAGTGGAAAGCAGTCGAGTAATTTCTGGGGACAAGGAAGCAAAGGGTTTTTGTTTTGTTTTGTTTTTCCCCTTACTTGCGAAAACACACTGGGCTAGGCTTTAAGTCATACCAAAGGGCTTAATATTTTTTTTCCTAGGGTTTCTTATCCTTTATTGTGTCCTGCCCCACCCCCACTCTCTCTGGCAGCCTGGTGAAGCCTGCGGACCCATTCTCAGAATAATGTTTTTAAATGCATAAAATAAAATACATAAGATTTCAAAAGAAACCAGTTATGTTAAAATGCAATTATCAAAATATTAAAAGAAAAACAAGTTCACAGACCCCAGATTTAAAACCCCCTTTTTGTCTCTGGAACTTCTGGTTGACATATCTCTATATCCTCTTTTCTCCCCCCACCTTGCGCCCCACGGCCTCAGTTATCCCCATTACTCGGTCTGGTGCACACCTTCCCATTTTATCCCTGGGGCACCTGCTTGCCTTTTCCTCACTCGGAAAAAGTGAGGAGCCTGCGTGTATGAGAAGGAAAGGAGGGGCTTGGGGAGAGGGTACGAGGAACCCTGGAACAGGGTGGAACTCCCACCTGTGACCCCCCCCCAAAAAAAAACCTTGCAGGAAGAGTTCGTCCCAACCTCCAAAGTGGCCGGGGTAGGGAAGCCCAGACACCCCACTTTTCCAGTTGCATCGCTTCCTCATAGCCCCGAGGGGACACCTCTCCGTACTTACCAAGTACCAGATGCCCAGCAGGATGGTGCCGGTGCGGACATGGCAACATAGGCAGCAGCTGTTGGAATAGAAGCGGGTCCAGGGCGCGCTCATCTTCATCTCAGGGCCCCTGCCCTGGCTCTCTGGGACCCGCTCAGGGGTCGCCACTGCCTCTACAACCGCAGCTGCTCCGCCGCTCCTCCCGTTCAGAGTTCCCGCAAACGCGCGCCCAACTTTGCCTGAGCGCTAACACCCTGCCTCTGCCTGCCAGTCCACCTCCAGCAGCTGTGGCTCTTTGTGGTCTCTAAGGAGCACCTCTTTCCCCCGCTCCTTCCTTCCTTTCGGCCTCCCTCGATGGTTCCCCGGCT